ACATGGCAAAGGTCAAAGGTCAAAAAAATGTTTGACCAAAAACTGAAAATTGGCAGAGGTCAAAGGTCAAAGATTTTTTTTGACCAACATGGCAAAGGTCAAAGGTCAAAAAAAATTTTGACCAAAAACTGAAAATTGGCAGAGGTCAAAGGTCAAAGGTCAAATTTTTTACCAAAAACGGAAAATTTCAAGCAAGCAAAAGGTCAAAGGTTAAAGAATTTTTTTGACCAACTAGCGGTTACATGGCAAAGGTCAAAGGTCAAAGGGCAAAAAATTGACAAAAAACTGAAAATTTCAAGGTCAAAGGTCAAAAAAAATTTTGACCAAAAACTGAAAATTGGCAGAGGTCAAAGGTCAAAGGTCAAAGAATTTTTTTTTACCAACTAACAACGGTTACATGGCAAAGGTCAAAGGTCAAAGGTCAAAAAAATTTTGACCAAAAACTGAAAATTGGCAGAGGTCAAAGGTCGAAGGTCAAAAAATTTTTGACCAAAAACTGAAGATTTCAAGCTAGCAACGGTTACATGGCAACGGTTACATGGCTAGCAAAGGTCAAAAAGGTCAAATTTTTTGACAAAAAACCGAAAATTTCAAGCTTTCAAGGTCAAAAAAAAAATTTAACCAAAAACTTCAAGATAGCAAAGGTCAAAGTTTTTTTTGACATGTCAAAAATGAGTTGATACTCGGAATTCGACTACAACTTTGAAATCTGTTGCGATCGCTAGTCGACTAGAGACCCGGTCGACCAAAGTCGGATCCAAAAAAAAAATCCAGATGAGACGACCCAATCAGATTCTGCTACTGGCAAAAGTTGAGTTGACACTCAGTACATTGTACCAAGTGCAATGAAGCAGCTGCTAGGTCGTTACTTCATAATCGACCTTGCAGTATTTCGAAGCGTGTGCTGTATGCATAAATGCCGAATGCATTTATGTTTGGCGCCATCTCGTGCCATATTTCATAATAACTGGCAAAGGTCAAAGGTCAAATAGCAAAGGTCAAAAAAAATTTTAACCAAAAACTGAAAATTTCAAGCTAGCAAAGGTCAAAGGTCAAAGTTTTTTTTGACATGTCAAAAATGAGTTGATACTCGGAATTCGACTACAACTTTGAAATCGCTAGTCGACTAGAGACCCGGTCGACCAAAGTCGGATCCAAAAAAAAAAATCCAGATGAGACGACCCAATCAGATTCTGCTCCTGGCAAAAGTTGAGTTAACACTCAGTACATTGTACCAAGTGCAATGAAGCAGCTGCTATGTCGTTACTTCATAATCGACCTTGCAGTATTTCGAAGCGTGTGCTGTATGCATAAATGCCGAATGCATTTATGTTTGACGCCATCTCGTGCCATATTTCATAATAACTGGCAAAGGTCAAAGGTCAAATAGCAAAGGTCAAACAAATTTTTTAACCAAAAACTGAAAATTTCAAGCTAGCAAAGGTCAAAGTTTTTTTTGACATGTCAAAAATGAGTTGATACTCGGAATTCGACTACAACTTTGAAATCTGTTGCGATCGCTAGTCGACTAGAGACCCGGTCAACCAAAGTCGGATCCAAAAAAAAAATCCAGATGAGACGACCCAATCAGATTCTGCTCCTGGCAAAAGTTGAGTTAACACTCAGTACATTGTACCAAGTGCAATGAAGCAGCTGCTAGGTCGTTACTTCATAATCGACCTTGCAGTATTTCGAAGCGTGTGCTGTATGCATAAATGCCGAATGCATTTATGTTTGGCGCCATCTCGTGCCATATTTCATAATAACTGGCAAAGGTCAAAGGTCAAATAGCAAAGGTCAAAAAAAATTTTTAACCAAAAACTGAAAATTTCAAGCAACAAAGGTCAAAGGTTTTTTTTGACATGTCAAAAATGAGTTGATACTCGGAATTCGACTACAACTTTGAAATCTGTTGCGATCGCTAGTCGACTAGAGACCCGGTCGACCAAAGTCGGATCCAAAAAAAAAAATCCAGATGAGACGACCCAATCAGATTCTGCTCCTGGCAAAAGTTGAGTTGACACTCAGTACATTGTACCAAGTGCAATGAAGCAGCTGCTAGGTCGTTACTTCATAATCGACCTTGCAGTATTTCGAAGCGTGTGCTGTATGCATAAATGCCGAATGCATTTATGTTTGGCGCCACCTCGTGCCATATTTCATAATAACTGGCAAAGGTCAAAGGTCAAATAGCAAAGGTCAAAAAAAATTTTTAACCAAAAACTGAAAATTTCAAGCAACAAAGGTCAAAGGTTTTTTTTGACATGTCAAAAATGAGTTGATACTCGGAATTCGACTACAACTTTGAAATCTGTTGCGATCGCTAGTCGACTAGAGACCCGGTCGACCAAAGTCGGATCCAAAAAAAAAAATCCAGATGAGACGACCCAATCAGATTCTGCTACTGGCAAAAGTTGAGTTGACACTCAGTACATTGTACCAAGTGCAATGAAGCAGCTGCTAGGTCGTTACTTCATAATCGACCTTGCAGTATTTCGAAGCGTGTGCTGTATGCATAAATGCCGAATGCATTTATGTTTGGCGCCATCTCGTGCCATATTTCATAATAACTGGCAAAGGTCAAAGGTCAAATAGCAAAGGTCAAAAAAAATTTTTAACCAAAAACTGAAAATTTCAAGCAACAAAGGTCAAAGGTTTTTTTTGACATGTCAAAAATGAGTTGATACTCGGAATTCGACTACAATTTTTGGTCAAAAAACTATTTGGATAAAAAATTTTGGTCAAAAAAATTTTGGTCAAAATATTTTTGGTCAAAAAAATTTTTGGAAAAAAATTTTGGTAAAAAAAATTTGTGGCAAAAAATTTTTGGCCAAAAAATTGGTCCAATAAATTTTAAGAAAAAAACTTTTGGTCTAAAAAATTTTGGTTAAAAAAATTTTGTTACAATTTTAGGGAAAAAAAATGGAATGTCGGAGTATCGGAATGTCGGAATATCGAAGTGTCGAAATGTCGGATTATCGGAATGTCGGAATATCGAAGTGTCGGAGTATCGGAATGTCGGAGTATCGGAATGTCGGAATATCGAAGTGTCGGAAAATCGGAATTTCGGATGATCGGAATGTCGGAGTATCGGACTGACGGAATATCGAACTGACGGAATATCGAAGTGTCGGAGTATCGGAGTATCATCGGACAAAAACATTTTTTTGACCAAAAATTTTTTTGACCAAAAATTTTTTGGACCAAATTTTTTTGACCGAAATTTTTCTGGTCAAAAAATTTTTTTGACCAAATTTTTTTTGACTATAAATTTTTTTGACCAATATTTTTTTGACCAAAATTTTTTTGACCAAAAATTTTTTTTCAGATATTCCGATATTCCGACATTCCGATATTCCGATACTCCGGCACTCCGATACTCCGACATTTCGATACTCCGATACTCCGACACTTCGATATTCCGACATTCCGATACTCCGATACTCCGACATTACGATAATCCGACATTTCGACACTTCGATACTCCGACACTCCGACACTCCGATACTCCGACACTTCGATATTCCGTCAGTCCGATACTCCGACATTCCGATCATCCGAAATTCCGATTTTCCGACACTTCGATATTCCGACATTCCGATACTCCGACATTCCGATACTCCGACACTTCGATATTCCGACATTCCGATAATCCGACATTTCGACACTTCGATATTCCGACATTCCGATACTCCGATATTCCATTTTTTTTTCCTAAATTTGTAACAAAAATTTTTAACCAAAATTTTTTAGACCAAAAATTTTTATCTTAAAATTTTTTTCCCAAAATTTTTGGGTCCAAAATTATTTTGACCAAAATTTTTTTTAACAAAAATTTTTTTCTCAAATTTTTTGGGCCAAAATTTTTTTGACCAAAATTTTTCTGACCAACATTTTTTTGACCAAAATTTTTTTGACCAAAAATTTTTTTGACCAAAATTTTTTTGACCAAAAATTTTTTTGCCTTAAGATTTTTCCGAAAATTTTTTGGGCCAAATTTTCCGATTTTATAAAAAATCTAAATAAATATCCATAGTGAACGAGAAATTAAAATTTAGGATTTTCATTATAATGAAAATCCTAAATTTTAATTTCTCGTTTACTATGGATATTTATTTAGATTTTTTATACCCATATATATATATACAATATATTGTATCTTGAAATTGTAAATAATATATAGCAGTGTATTTGTTGATTTATATTTCGATTTGATTGTATATTTATTATAATATAATATTATCTAGTATATTTTTGTTATTATTGTATTATTACAAAATATAATACGATTGTAATAGCAAATTTAGTTTCAAATACCCGTGTACTAAAATTCATTAATTTTCATTTCAAATTTTTTACTATGGATATTTATTTAGATTTTTTATACCCATATATATATACAATATATTGTATCTTGAAATTGTAAATAATATATAGCAGTGTATTTGTTGATTTATATTTCGATTTGATTGTATATTTATTATAATATAATATTATCTAGTATATTTTTGTTATTATTGTATTATTACAAAATATAATACGATTGTAATAGCAAATTTAGTTTCAAATACCCGTGTACTAAAATTCATTAATTTTCATTTCAAATTTTTTACTATGGATATTTATTTAGATTTTTTATACCCATATATATATACAATATATTGTATCTTGAAATTGTAAATAATATATAGCAGTGTATTTGTTGATTTATATTTCGATTTGATTGCATATTTATTATAATATAATATTATCTAGTATATTTTTGTTATTATTGTATTATTACAAAATATAATACGATTGTAATAGCAAATTTAGTTTCAAATACCCGTGTACTAAAATTCATTAATTTTCATTTCAAATTTTGCGCCATTAATTTGAGTGCCAAAAGCAGCGCCATCACATCGAGTGGTGGACCCTTTAAGTATTCCGTCCGAACGTAAAAATCGGGCGAGAGAAACGTCTATATGAACACGGGGTATTTTAATATTGTCTAGGGCCGATTGACGATCTTGACGTCTGAAATCACTGAAATTTCACTTTGACGTTCGGCACCAACCTAGACAATTTTACCTGATAATGTTGCATATAATATTGCTGAGAGCAATAATATAACGTAGCTATTTTATGCGAGTATTCGCCCATCCAAATCCAATCTATGAAGAAAGAAAAATGTCTAAGCGAAGAGGCGTCAGTGCAGATGAAAAGAGAACTCGAATGTTACAACTTTTTTACGAAAAAAAGGAATTTTTTCAGTTAAAAGTAATTAATAATTAATTAATGTTATCAGACTGATTCAGAGTAATCCATAAGATCGACGCTAAATTAGACATCAGGAATATTACACATTTGTTTACGAATTTTGAAATAGCACTAGAACTATCTAAACATTATTTTAAATTTCTATGTTTTGTATTTTATCAGAAATGCTGAAGATTTAAACACACACACACATATATATGTATATATATATATATATATATATATACACATTTATATATATAACCTTGGTAACAATATTTACCTTTTCGTAGTAAATGTTCTTTGTATATTGTAGCCACACCAGTACTAATAGAAGAACTATCATGTTTATAATATTTCTATTATAATGATGTTGGAGTTTTTATGCAGGAACTAGAAAAAATTGCACCAAAAGAAAAAGGTATAATTTCACAAAGTGTAAAAGATGTCATACAGAACTTGGTAGACGATGGCCTAGTTGATACAGACAAAATTGGAACCTCAGTTTATTTTTGGGCATATCCAAGGTAATTTACTGATTTTATCATCTATTGGCTATAGTAATGAATTTGATTAATATTAAAGTAAAGCTAAGCATGCCAAGAAGAAAGCTTTTGCAGAGCTTAGTGAAAAATTGGAACAATTAGATAAAAAATATGACGACTTCAAAAATATTTTATCCAAAGAGCAAACTGGGCGAGTTCTAACGGAGCAGAGAAATGCAATGCTTCAAGAAATACAGAAATTGAGAGAATCTGAAAGTAAATTGCTTGAAGAGATTAAAAAATATCAAGACTCGGACCCTGAAGCCATTGAACTACTGGTTTCTGAAACAAAAGTATGTACAATATTATTAATTATTGTATAATTTAAAATATGAATTTATTTAATATTTTTTATAGCTAGCAAAAGAAGCTACAAATCGGTGGACTGATAATTTATTCGCATTAAAATCATATTGTAAAACAAAATTTTTTATTGAAGAAGCAGCAATAAACAAACAATTTGGTATTCCAGAAGATTTGGATTATATTGAATAATTTTTTTTTTAATCAATGTAAACTTAAATAAAACTTTATATACAACACTCATTTATCGTTAAATATTTACAAATGTAATGTATTAAAGTAATAAATATATACAAATGTACACCTTTTTTTTTTAAGTATGGTAAACATTCATTCACAATATATTCCACATTCAAAATCTTTTTTAATAAAATATAAAAATAAATTATAAATGAATAATATACAAATATTCAGCTAACTCAGAAAGTTGTATAAATATACCTACAATTCTGTATTATACATAAGCACCCGCTTATTCATCAGTACTCCATGCACGCTATTCAAATTTCACACTGATCTATTAATACAGTCTTGAATCACATACAGACTCCTCATATGTATAATCACATATAATATTTCATAAGCCTTAATTGAAATGGAATTTAAATTGAAATGGTGATCCATGATGGAAGTGATGAAATGGTGAACCACCGCCTCCTCTGTGATTATTTGCAGATTCTGGATCTAAAGGATCTTCACCGTTGTCAAACTGAGCTCTTTTCTCAGGATCAGTGAGAACCTACAATAAATTATTAAGAAGGGCATAAACTCAATTATTTGGTCCACATATATTATAATAATAAAAGTATTTCATGGAATGTTTGATGATCTATAAAATAATGAATTTGCTACCTCTTTTGCAGCAGCAATATCTATAAATTTATTCTCTGCTATTTTCTTTTCATCATCTTTGAAATTATCAGGATGCCATTTTTGTGCTGCTTTTCGATAAGCTTTAATGATCTCTTGCTTTGTAGCTGTTCTTTTTACACCTAAAATTTTATAATAGTCTCTCCTCTCAGCTTGCTTTTGTAACCTCTGAGCCTTCAAAAGCCCATCTTTCGCTCTCTGATCATGCTCATTTATTTCCAAAGCTGATTTATAATCATGGATGGCTGAAACAATAAATATTTTGAAACTATGATATTTAAAAAAAGAATTCTATCATCCAAATGATATCCAGATGCAATATTTTTAATATAAAATAAAAAACTTGTTTCTCTTACCGTCATCATACATTTCTGTCCCAATATAAGCATCAGCTCTATCACACATTATCGATGGATCTTGATGAATTTCTAATGCAGCTCTACAAGTGCCAATAGCAACTGTGTATTGTTCATCCTTTGCCAAGTAAAATATTTATTATGTAACAGTGACTAATATTCTTAAAATTATTTTTTGAAATGTTATTTACATATACCTTAACATAGCAACTGCACAGGAGTTTCTTGGCATTAAATATAACATCAATAACTGTATCTTCAGCTTTTAAAACCTTTCCAGCTTGTTCTATACATTCCCCAAAGTTTCCACTTTCTAAAGAATGTTCAGCTGTATTTAAAAATTTATCTATCTTTTTAATTTTCTTATACAATGGAAAACAGTCTTTATGTTCTGGATCAAGTCGTAAGCATTCTCTTATTTCCTAAAACAAAATGTGAAATAAAATATAAAATGTATCATAGATAAAGGTATTCAAAAGGAAATTACTTTCAAAGATTCAGCCACAAACCCTGCTTGATACAGTAATTTGCTAAGTTTAAAATATCCTTCTATACTATCTTGCTGAAGTCTATTTATGGCACGCAAATCTGATACAGCACTCAAAACTTCACCCTAGGATTAAAAATAATTATAAGAATATTGTATATTACATTCAAGCTAATATTAGTTTATTTTTAAGGAAAAAATGTATAAAACTATAGCCTTTGGTATTAAGATAAAGCAAAAATGAAAAAGAAAATGATAGATCTGCTCATAGAAAATGTGTTTAAACTTATTATTTAATATACTTTAAGTATGTTATTATAAATTAGTTGTACCTGTTCTAAATAACAATCAGCCCTTAGATGACGAATTTCTGATGACCAAGGTGAAATTTCTAACAAATTTGTTAATTCTCTAATAGCACCATCAAAGTTCCTCATTTGTCTGAAATCAATGTCTGTTATGAAAAAATTCTTATGAAGCTTAGTTTTAACTAAATTCAAATTTTTATTACTTCAACTCATGGGCAATCATGAATGATTCTTGAGCTGGATGTACTCGTTGAAATAAAACATTTGCATCTTCATTATATGGATCTACTGATAGCTGTAAAATAGAATAACTTACATAGATAGTATGACATAACTTATAACAAAGTAAAGTAAGGTATTAAACATACCACATTATAAAGATCTAAATAAGCAGAATCATACTCTCCAAGCTTCATTAGCACACTTCCTCTTTGTAGTCGAGCTGCTGTGAAATCTGGTTTTAATTCTAGAACTGTTCCAAAGTCTTGTAAAGCTAATCTAGCTCTACCTAAGGCAAGATAAACTGTGCCTCTTTTAAAGTTTGTTAAATAATTTGTTGGATCCCCTTCTGCAAATAAAACATTATTAACACATTGTTAACATCACATAAAATAACAACAAAAAAAATTTAGTAACATTATTGCTTTTATCTAGCCAAATATAAGCAAATAATAATGTAACAAATAATAGTTATTGTCATTTTATCTCATTGATATTATATATAAACTAGTGGGGTGGGTGGCATCGTGCCTTAAGGCAAATTGCTGGAACTTCCCGTACCGTAACGAAATGTTCGAGGAATACTGAATGTTTTCAAACAGATTATTATAAATATTGTAACATTGTCTAATATTTATAAGAATTATATAAACTGAATTGCAAAGTTGAAATTATTTGTAAAGTATATTAGAACTATAGTCAGAATTAAAAATAAAATCTGAATTATTTTCGATATACAAAAATTAAAAAAAAAAAAAAAAAAAATTTTTTTTTCCAAAATCAATTATTTTGTTAACACATATAAGCACATATATGTAGTAATTAATATATGCACATCCATATATATATGCATATATACACACAAAATTAATAAAGGATTAATCGTTTTTAATTAGGTTTTAAAAAATTTAGATATGAATCATGAATGATATTACGATCTGATCTTCTGTTAACACAACTTGATGAATTCAAAAAGATTAACTGCTTTCAGTAAAAAGTCTTTTAAAAGTACAATCCTCTCTATATAAAATATTGGGTTCAAAGGTAAAAATATGTGAATTTTCAATGGAATGTTGAACAAGAGTGATTTGGAAACTTCGGCTTTTGTGATGAATGACGCTTAATTCATGTTGTCTCATTATCATATGGATGTATTGTGATGTTTGGCCAATGTATTGTTTTTGATTGTGATGTTTGGCTAATGTATTTTTATTACTCTTTACACTGGTACATAATAATCTGTAATAACCATAATTAATTAATGTTAATCAATAGTTTTAAAAAACATTGTCTTTGACAGAATAAACCTGATGATGGAGCGTATCTAGTTCCAAAACGTCGTATTAAACATCTT